GTTACTAATATATTGCAACTGGTTATTGGCGAATTTTCATCATATAATGATATCACCCACAGATAAATGACAACCCAGATTCTATTTGCATAGTGCGTATATTGAATTTTGATTCTGAATACATAAATATTTTCAAGCGTTACGTCGCGGTCTATTAAAGGTCAATGTTTCGGCAAATTCCTGCTGCTCTGAGGATTCCAGCATACTAGTACCACGATTCCAGTGAGTGAATCAATCATAGTAAATGACATAAAATATTTTGGTACTGTATTCAAGCCATGAAGGAGGAGACCACACCAGATACATGTACAAGTTGGTTATCTGTATCACAAGAATCCAAACTCAGTTTATGATCAGGTAAACTTCTAGTTGCCATTCGATTCTGTGACAGATGTGGACATTGTTGTGATCATTGACAGGGTCACCTAGCGACATTTGCTAGTACAGCTCCTTTTATAAGTCTGTCACCAAGGAGGCCAACAGTCTGAGATATTAGAGTATCATAGACTGATAGAATACTAAATGAGGTACATTGTACTAGTATATGGCGAGTCAAATACAGTAGGTTGTGCAACGACAGTCTATCGACGCGTGACCAAGATGCATATTAACCCACCATGCATAAAGTAATATCTGAACGATGAAAAAAAACACTACCGTTGCCTCATAACAAAAGCCATTTTCCCGGACATAGAGGGCCGGGAGTACAAGTTTGCTTATTGTCTTCATCCTGTATGTTATGTCACACAACCCGGATCTTCACTATGAACTTTGTGCAAAAGATATCCATCAGACAACCCCCGGTACAAACCGTATAACAAAAATTCCCGTGAACATCTGCTGATGGCGTACCCCAGCGGTTATGTTACTTCCAATACATAAAAGGAGCACGTCGGCAGAACGTACTGCACCTGCGCGAAACCCGTAATGTATTGATAGCACTTCGAGGGATGGTCTCATAAGGTGCAGTACGTTCTATCGACGCACTAGTACTCATAAAAGGCTGCTGTTGTCTGAGATGATATGACTGAAGACTTACGTTAAAAGTGGGTGACAAGGAGAAACGTAAAATATGATGGAGTCATTGATATCGATGGAATGCGATTATAGTAGGAGTCTGGGGCTAAAAATAGCGTCAATGTAAAACCTCAAAAGTAAAAAGCCTGCTCGAAAGCACGAGCAGGGATCTGATAGTGATAGTTACTAGAAGGTAAAATGATGGTGAAAGGGTCCACACCCATCCCCTCTAAAAATTCCCAATGGACTTCCCCAAACCTGTCACATGAGTGTCTGTACAAGAGTAGCTGTACTACAAGAGTGCACAGAGAGTACCCCCCCCCCCCCGTAACCCAAGACCATGGGAACTAAGGCACGGTAAACACTGCTCTATTTCCCGCCATTGTCTGTGCCAAGAAGGGCACGGAGGTACAGGTCTGGTGGAAGAGGAGATTTCTTTGAACTGAGCAGATCGTGGCGCCGTTAAAGCCAGGATTGCAGGAGGGGTGATGGCTGTCAATATGTGTCACAGAAAGGTCGGCATAGAGATAAACCCGCGCCACTTAATGAGCCATGTTCGTACAGGTGACATTAAGTGGCCTCCTCCTGTTGCCTGTATTCATTCATTAGGACACAATGACTCGTTTTTTTCTACAGTAGTCACTGCCTTATATAATTTTGTTTCGTTAGTACCAGTTCCATGTGTTATATGTTGATTCGTCCTTTATAAATAGCCTAGAACAGGGGTTAGATAAAGGTCGTCCTTGAAGTCTACAAACAGACGCCATAAAGAAAGGCAACACCAAGGCCGTTACATTCCACTGAGTTCTCATTGTCTCGCAGACATTAAGTAAATTTCGCTACCTAAGGCGTTGGCTTTAAGGTATGGCAGAGGTATGCCGTACGTGGTCGTACATCATGTGTGTCTGAAAGTAGCGTGCAACTCACATACCAGTACCCCCCCCCCCCCCTCACACTCACACACACACACACACACACACACACACACACACACACATTAGATATACTTGTATTTGCAAACACGAAGCCTAACTCCGGTAGGTAGTTAGGTAAGTAGGTTACCTTCGAACATAATCAAGGTCTCGATAAACAAAGAATACAACAGTGCGGTTAACACTTATCGTTAGGTCACCGAGATTGTCCATTTTCAACCCATATTGTAACACTTTCACATTCACGGTTGTAACAATTCTGCGAAAATACTAAGAGTACTACAAAGTCCATCATTGACTACCATTAGTATCATTTGTCCGTCATAAGAAAAAAGAAAATGTACAATGAACAGAGAACCAGTGACTTTTAGCCAATTAAGGTCTGATAGAGAGGTCAATGTTCCAAAAGGCCGTCTGAATATCGTGTTGCTAATTATCTCCCCAAAGTGCCGCCAATTTAAGGCGTTTTGATTACTTCCCAAAGTACCGCCAATTCAAACCCTCTTGGTCCAAACTTGACACCAGGAGCGACCTTGGATGTAGCTGGTTGAACTCAGACAGCTGTTAGAGACTTGTTTTGGGACACGACAATTGGATTACTTGTTTGATGTTAATGCGCAGAAAAAAATGCGGCTCTTCTTCTCCACCGGAACAGATAGTAAAAGTACGGAACTTCATTAATTTCCCGCCAGACAAAGTGTAATATAGGTTATGACCGAATCATGTCAATAAAGCATTGTTAAAACGTGTTTCTTATCAAGTTCATGAAAATGTAATGTAGCCAACATAGGGTACCATGGTGCAAATATGGTTCGCTTCAATGGTTGGTGAAATAAAAAAGATAAATTATATATTGCCTATAGATTAGCACGAGATGAAACCTGTGACTACAGACAGTTTGTCTCTTTTTTAATCTATCATCTCTTTTGCGTCATCGGATTGTCAACATCCGAACCTGGGGGTAAGATTTGACGATAAGAATGCCAAAACATAAATGAATGAACCATGGCATACAACTATAACACTCTCAACATGCAGCAGAGAAAGTTAGACGACTATGAAACTCTATGAAACTCTATGGACTTGAAGTACTTTTGATTCATATGAATATCAAAGCAGTGTTTCTCAACATGTTAACAGAATCTGGAAGGAGCCAACACATGAAGAACGAGGACGCTGAATGCAAGTCGCTTAAAGAAACAAATACGGGAATCTGTCAAAACCGTTTTTGTTTGAAAGCCCCTTCAGACCTCCTTGGTCTGAACCCGTCCTTCAACCTGGCGGTAAAACATATTCTGTCCTTTCCAAACAGCTATATTGATTGCACTGCCGTTATCTTGAACTTGAGAACCGTCAATATTACCTCTGTGCCATTGACCTTAAGGGCCCCGGGACCTCTCGTGCCCGGTACAAGTTACACCGGGATTAAAGCTGTCATGGTGTTTTGATGTTTGTGGAAGCCTCGTACCCGGGCGTTTTGTACGGGCGCACGTGTTGTGAAATTTGCTTGTAAAATGTCCACCTGTGTGGAGTATTGATGACCTTTCCTGTAACCTGATCACGCCAGTCCAACAGGGTCCTACTATTCTCTTCTATCCGTTTAAATTAACTTTTGACGTTGTGAACTTGAACATGGGGCTGAGTGTCGCAATTTTGCCAGCCTAGACTTTAGTACCCTCACGTCACCGACACATGGTGAAATGATACTTGTCTCTCTTTTAGACTCCACAAATCTCTGATGTCCCTTTGAACTTGACGCTGAAAGCCCCGCAGAGCGGCTTGTGTTGTGGTTGTTAACCACACCATACGTCTGTGGCCCGCCCAGGCCGGCCCGCCGTGAAAGGGAAAATCATAACAGTACCAGAGGCAACAACAAAGTGGGCACAAAGGAGGAAACAACAGTTCGCGACTTTGCCGTGGAGCTGCGGCGAGGTAGGTGGGCAGCACTGCGGGCCATGTGATGGCACAGCTGTACAACACTAATTTCCGAGCAGATGTAGGAGGTGGGGACCGGAACGGCTTTGGCTGTCCCGTTTTCGCCCCCCCACACACACACACATACTGGCACACAGGGGGATAGATCTTAGATCAGAAAAATAGATGTCGTTGTACCTCCCTGTGTTACAAATCCTGATTAAAGCTATTATATAAGAATCTGGGTAAAAAAATCATTGACTCGCACGTTTCCAGCGTGTTGCAGAGAATGTCACGATATCCATAGTTCTCCATCCCTCGACGAGCACACCAGTCAAAAGGTGGCAACTTTTCTAGACGCCGAAATGTTATGATTCTATGAAGTCCGACAATTTTCATTTTTTTTATGAAGTCAAATTGCATTGTAATTGAGAGAAATTGTGATTTTTTTTTTCAATTTGACAACAAATATGATTTTTTAAAACCATTTCCTCGTTGTTTTCGCATAGTTTATATCTCTGTTCTTGTGTCGGTCTACAGAAGTCATGCCGACTTGGGTGGGACAATTGACCTTTTATGAACGCCCCGATGACTCAGGAGTACCGATGAAATCAGTAATTATTAGATTAGTATTGTTATATCCCTCAGCTCTAATAATTGTTTCGCTCAAGGGAATGGGAATTTTCCGCCTGGATGCGTCTGCGCCCATCTCGATAAGATTTATAAAAGTAACTCTATTGTTCCTTTGTCTTCTTGTTTGCTTAGGAAAAGGCCAGTTCGAAAGCTTTGTTATGCTTGTTAAGATATAGTTTATCCTGTCAAAAGTCAGCAATGAAATAGAAGTAAAAAAAGCAGTCACTGCAGCAGCGTGGAACTTGTGTTGTTTTTCATGTCAAAGAACACCACATCTCTACCATGACCAGGCAATCCAAATACAAACCTTCCTACATGTGTGCGTTTCTTGGCTGGGGATTAAAACGATTCCACGTAATTAGTTCCGATCCGTGTGGCATTTTCTCCGCAGTTACGATCCATGTGGCTGGCGGACTGTGCCGGGTACATGGCGAACCTTGTGTAGGGCGTCGCCGTGCCATGTAAACAAAGTTATCGCCAGGTCTCCACACGGAAATGTACACAAAGACAGAAGGAAACGTTCGATCGATAGAGTCCGGTTCAAAGGTGGTCTTTATTGTCGTGCCGCTTTCTAAACCTGCATGGCGCTCCTTTACCGGGGTCAGGTACACTTAACTGCGGCACCAAACAACGAGCATGAAAACTTTTGTCAAGAAAAATTTGTTTAACTTGAGGGTGTTGTACTAAGGATTGTGTTAGTTGTGTTCGATTGGAACAAAAGCGTGAAAAAGATTTGAGATAATCTATTTGCGAACAATTTAGGGGATTAGAGTCTGGACGATGCATGTTCATATAACAAACAGAGACGTTGTTAGGCAGGTAACGAAGGGAGAACTGTCGTGTCGGCAGCTGTAATTGGGCGTTTGTAAAATTGTTATAAGAACCGTAGATATTGTCCCGGCTGCCCAGATCTAGTACCTGTGCTTAGGGCACATCAAAGACACCGCCTGGCTACGTGTCTGCAGTAAGGTGGAGAACGTGACAAGTGTGGCCCGGTCGTCAACAACTACAAACCAACATTCCTAGGTAAGGTGGACGACCCGCTTGTTTTACCCCCCGCCACGTGCAAGGGGGCGAAATCCGTCCGCAGGTAACCTCGCGCCGGGGACGGCTCGCGCAGGACACCGGCTGAAAAATTGGCGCCCCCCGTCAGGTGTAGGGGTCAGACAACCGGGCAAGCGTGGCGAGTTCCACCCGCGCCCTGTGAAAACCAACCCCGCATTCTTTCTTTTGGCAGGCAGCTCGCTTAGGTATGCGAGGTTGTTTGCCCCTCCTATTGTCCCCCCAGCTCTCTCCCTATCAAACACGCCGAATCATTATCAGCGATTAACGCGTAAGAACGTAATAGCAAACAATTTGCATAAAGCTCGGAAAGGGCAAAAGTCCACAGGTAGCTCGTGGTGGGAGTACTCCAGCTCGTTGCGAAGTTTCCGGCTTGCACTCTTGCAGACTTTTGGAGCTGGGAGCTGGTGTTGGATGTATGCAAGAGCCATATGGGCTGCAGCAGTGACTATTGGAGGTAGTCTGAGCTGAGTTTGAGCTGTATATGAGGTCCCTGAGGCGTGGAGATATTTGTACCCTGATTAGAGCCGACTTGGTGTGGCCGGGTGTAGTCTTACCAGCTTCCCACGACTGAAGGTAGGTGACACGGCGGCGTTGCACGCTTCTTTTCTTGTCTTCCACGGAGTTATGTTAGTGTAAGAATGTTGTGCAATGGTAATGAGGTCAGGAACGGAGCTCAGTTGTGTTTCTATGTGCAAGATTTAGCTGAAGTCGGCCGCCATGACCCGCGGTAGGGTAGGCTGGCCTGCAGACTAGTGTAGCATGGTAGTGCATAGCGTGGCTGTCCCACGGGACCTCATGCATGTTGAAGTATATAGCACCAGCTTCATTTTGCATTGCAATTTTACTTGTTGCACACCTGCAACCTTGTGCCAGGTAGCTGGGACCTGTTGGCGGTGTGTGTAGGTAGCACCGACCACGCAGAGTTTGCGCGCCCGCCACTGGGCCTGGCGAAGTTTACCTGTCGTTGCTATACATACACAACAACATGGTCGAGCCCAGTCGGCTGGGGTCGGATCATTTCCGCCTGGTTGGTGTGGAGTGGGTAAGGTGCACCCGTGTCTGCCGGACTGTCCCGGCTAACTACCTAAAAACAACCCCTGGGCCCCAGGAGTAGCTCTCCGGTACCTGACCACCTCTCCAACACCCCCCTTGACCCTACTCTTCAAACAAGCCCCCCTTCTCCCGGATGTTTTGTCCCTGCTCACATGTATGCCTTCTTATGGATACATGGCGCACCAAGTGAGCTCACTTCAGCTCCGGTAGCCTTCCAGGAACACGGACCTCAGCACGGGGCCTGTACTGAGATGTTTATACACGGATTTAACGCAGTGTTAAAATCTTTTAATTTCAACACTTTCTCTATAGCTTTTGCATAACTACGCCACGGTAACAAGGCTCAACCCTGCATGACTCTGTGCCACTAAAACGAGCACCAGACACAGCTGCGTCCTCGGGCCTTCAGTTGATGTAACACCACGGATAAGTTATGAAAAGATGTGGACAAAAGCATGCACGACTTATCTTAGCTGTTTGTGCTACCCCAGTGGACTTAATGAGGGCAGAGAGTGCTGAGGGATTTGCAAAAGATGGCATACTTGGAAACGTTTGGCGATGACGAGTCTGTTCTGAAGTGGGAATGAGTCATGTGTGCAAACTTAGAATGTGGCCGGGTCGGATGACCTGGCCTTACCGCTTGTAGTGGCAGGCCTGTACGTATATAAACTACATCTTGACGAGGGGGTGGCGAAGAAATCTGTAGCGGAGATAAAACAGGCCAATGGGGACAGAAGTTTGGTAGTGTTTCAGGATAGTGTTACGTCCAGATGTTTTGCTTTGCTGACCCCTCCTTGATAGTTCGTTTTAGATCCTACAGAGCTGTGTTTCTGAGTCTGGAAAGGTGTTGGGATGAAGTCTTATGTAAAAAGAACTGCAGACAAGGGTAACGGCCTGACTAATTGTGTTGTGTTTTTCTCGCCCTCTGTTGGTTTTAGGCAAATCATATTTACATAAAAATGGCCCCGGTGACCGGTCATTAGTAATAAATAACTTCCCCTCATGCTCCCTTTTCGTACTAGAAAAACTGGTTCGATCCAGACGCTAGGTTCCTTTTATTGATTGCACCATGTATTGTGTGAATTTGTATTCAAACGTAAAGCTGATTAGAAATATATCGAAATGTTCTTTTACTTTAGTTTCTAGAATTTTAAATGGCTGCATTTCCACCAACGAAAAAATAAGGAATTTATTCATAGACATTAGCTAATATACATGAACTTGTTCTTAACCGAGTGTGAACTTCCACGATACTTGGATGATATCAGTTCCACTGTTAGTTGTCTGACATTTTGCTAATTGCCGACTACCGTCACCTTTTTGTTCTGACATTTGAGTAGCCTCCTTTCGCACCACTGGAAAGGGAACATGACCTGTGGGCTATGCTTCACACGGTGTGTTGTAAACCGAGCACGAGCCGAGCAATTTTAAACATTTCCTCTAAGTCGCTCCCGGTGTCTTTTAGCCCAGTGCGGGTGGTCAGGTACGAGTTTACCCATTTCTTACAATGTTATATGTATCATTTTGTCTCCTTCAAGTTGGAACTTCTGGATCGTCCGATCGTTATTGTATCAAATTTCGGTGACATGTGAGCTAACAGACCCGCGAGTTTGTAAGTGACGCGTGCCTTTCACAGTTCTAGAGGAGGAGGGCGGGCGTTTCACACCGAATTAACGAGTTAACATAGGTGTTGACATATCAGACACCCCCACCAGCACTGGTAAGCAAATCTTTTCAAATTTAGTCAGTAAATTGTTTGTCTACGAAATGTTGTGACACAAATCTGGGGAAAGATTATGACGATAGAAAGTGTCGTTACATATTGGAGAGTGATCTGTTGCTTGCTGAGCCTTAGTTAAAGTACGTGAGTGACAGATTTGCAGACGACCGGAGAGCAGAGGGTGATGTCACGAAAAGGAGGTCTAGTTTCCGTTTTTCTGCTTTTCAGCAACATCCGGTTCTGTCTGGAACACCGTGAATTCCAAAGCGACGTTTTAAACTACACGATTCTCATAATTTATTTCATGATATTGGAAATCGAATTGTGTGTGTTAAGGTTTGATATAATTAAAAATGCCGTCTAATGTCGCAACTTTTACGATTGACTCCTTTTGGCGTTACCCGCTCGATCAACGTCCCATGTTTCGCGTCTGCACATATATCGGACAATATGACGTCATGCACAGCAGTTGTCTACACATCATTTTACGAGACGAAAAAGTCGAAATATTGTTACGACATTTTCACGATCATGAACAAAGGTCAGCTTGATAACAGAAGATAGCATGGAAAAGGCTCAATATAGGTTTAGGTACTGGGCAGCCAGCTTTTTTTTGACGTTGGCAAATGTGTCCGTCTTGGCAAAGATGGAATACTAGCTGTCAACAGTGTTGTTATCCCAAAGACAAGTGCCACATTTAGCAATTACCCTCGGTCATCTTGAGCATACAGATGTCTGTTTGGTTTTCACTCGCTTTTAATGAGCGGAGGCAAACTCCATATTTGCATTAAACTAGATAGAGAGGACTGAGCACACACGGTACCTCGCCTGGCCCGGCGGGAGTCGGAACTACTGCTAGAATGTCAGTTCCGTAGAGGGTTGTTGCTACAAACAAATAACAAACCAACCTACTCACGGTCGACGGGAATAGTTAAGTCTTTAGTCAACAGTGGTGGACCGGCCTTGTCGGCTCATGGCGAGGGTGACAGAATAGAGAGAAAGATGGGCACAAGTCCTGGATGTGTCATGTGGCAGGATTAGCGTGACGTCGGTCCAAAATAGCATTGAACGGTACGTAACGTTTATGTTTGTTGTGGAGGTCCTTGAAGGGAAGACTTTATAATTTCCAACATTTAAATATTTCAACTATATGTTTCAGCTATATATTATGATTTTGATTTTCTCTCGTCTACCCTAGGGAATGTTGGTCTTTTTAATTGCCTATTAGTATCATGCGTGTTGAATGATATTTTTAGTCCGTCCCCTGTGGTTGGAATTGTGGCTTGAAAGCTACTGCTGTGAGTGTGGGTGTATATGCGTTCATGTAACCATACGCCTCAAATTCGAGATAAAAAGAATATATAAACTTGTAGCATTTTTACATGTAGACTACGTATGCCAGTTGAAAGGTTTTGCTGTGTCTGGTAACTTTTTAACCTTCTTGCCAGCAACATTCGTATCAGTAACATGAATGACGTTTATAGTACGCTGACGTCCAATTGTTTGCGCCTGCGTATTACTGCTAGGTCGTGGAAAAGAAAGCGTACACCATTAATGATATGTCGTTACGTCAATTCCAAGTGCATTTTACGTCATCATGTAACATAACGGTTACAACGCAACAAGGTCAAGTTGCTCATGCTTATCTTTACTTCATATCTGAGATATGGGGTTACGGCTCGATTTGTATGTCTTTTAATTTTGAAGAGCTCCTGTTCATATATGCGATGTGTGGTGAAACTATCGGTGAGAAGAAAATGCACAACTTGAAAGCGTACGAAATAAGGTAAAGCAAATTAAAAAGACGTACAAAAACAAGCCCATCTGAAGTCTACTCGAGTAGAAATACTAGTATGTGGGAGGAGAGACATAAAGCCGTTGGACAATAGTAGCTGTATTTCTTCGTTTTCTGTTTGTTGACGCTTGAGGAGCCACGTCCATAAGAAGCAGCTGCAATGCACCTTGCGGTGTGAGATCAGGATGACGCACCGCGCTGTAAGGAATACTGATCCGTCTCCTTGCACCTGATCAGACGGGGGTCTGGTTGCAGTAACCTGTTCCTCAATTGTAACCCAAACATCGTCACCAGGTACGGATCTGTCGTTACCTTTCTTCAATCAAAGCGAATAATTGTGCCCCCCTGTCGGCGGCACGGCTGTCCCCGGGGTGCGCTCAAGGCTACCGCTGA